CTGAAATACGATTTGTCAACTATCACACAATTCAAGTTCAATTAATTTACATCGCAATTAAGTAAATTAATCTCAGAAATTAAGTTTGGAATCAATTTCTAATCAATCTTGAATTGATATCTCAATTAATTTTTTCAATTAATTCTTTAAATACATCTTTTAAATTCATCTTTACATTAATTTTAAAGTTCAATTAATTGTATAATTAATACCCAACACTACTGAACACCTTTCGTAACTTCAAACACACCATTCGATGGATAATCTGTTTTCTAATTTATTCGCTCCTGACAATTTTATAGAAAAGTTAACGATGTTTCTTTCTCGACACATAAACCACGAAAAACAAACAATCTGACCGAATTGTTACCCAAGTTTCCAAGACCTGACCTAGTTAAACAGTCAGTAACATAAATGCGAGAGTCTTGTATATCGAGTAGAAAAAGAAATGTGTAACATGGCGAGAATGTCATTTGTACGCAAGAAAACTTGCTCGACATAGCAGTGCTGCTTCAAAAGATTTAAAAAAAACTGTATGTACGTACTCGTCAATGCAGTATGCCAGCATTTACCATTCGTGTTCCTTCTTTTTCGTTTTAGCACGTTTTAGCGAGACCTTCGATTTTCCTACCATATTATTACAAATTTCAACCGAGGCTCAGCTAGCATTCACGCAAACCACACATGCCACTCGTCATACAAAAATCGCGTAGGAAAATATAAATGAAATTCAACTGTATCTCTCTTTGTTTGTCCTGAAATCTTGTTTTCAGACTTATGGGTTCGAAACAGTTACGCATCTCTCCGAAGATCTTCTCGCTCACGCCTCACCTATCGCGTACATGCAATTTTCTTTTCGCTTACTCCTCTTCACTGTTTTTTCTCCTTTCATTCGGTGCATTTTATATACTTTTCCTTTATCCTACATGTTCGCTCGCTTGTCCCGTATCCACGACCTACTTGTGTAATCGCCTATTCGCGCCTCTGTTATTAAAATAGAATAATTTCGATTCTCTTGAATAAAATACTATCATCTTTGTTCTCTCCTCTCTCCCATAACTATTCATCCCGCACATCGTTACCTCGTAAAATATCCAGACTCGCATATATCTCGTTTATCCGTAGCTGTCGCGTGTAAGTCGGAGCTCGGTGATTTTTCGCGTAAATCATAAAAATGGCAAGCAATTACGTAGCTAGTAGCTAGACAAATTGTTCAAGTTTGTTTAACATTGCGAGCAACCGCAATAATAATCAAGGTGGAACCTTGAGGATTGCATTTTTTCCTTATTTTGACTATCGTGATATTCTCCATATCACGATCATTATTAGAAGTTACAGACATATAGAGGTTTATTGTATAAACTTGGATAATTTGTTCACTTACTAGCTGCATAATTCATCATTGTTTAGAGTAATCAAAAGACAGTTGCACTCATATGGTACAGTTATTAATAAAATTGTCAAGTAACTATGTAGTCAGCAGATGAACAAACTATTTCAATTTGTTTTATAATAGGATCAATCCTAATAAGAATAAAGAAAAAGCAACTGGAAAGATTATATACTTCTTGATGATTATTAGAAGCCTCAGTAAAAAAAATAGCTAATGTCGTAATAAACTTGAACAATTTAACCACCAACTGGCTACTCAGTATTTAAAACAATCTAAACACACTTTTGTTTCTACGACACCCATTAACAAAATTGATAATTGAGTATTAAACCCGACGAAAGGATCCTGTATCGTGATATTCCACTACGTGTTCGCATCTCCGCTTGGAGGTAAGATGCAAACAAAAAGACGAAGAAAACTGCCAAAATATTTAATTACGCAAAAAGATAAGTAAATAGGTAAATAATGACAATAACAACGCGAGCATTTCATCCTAGTTCCATCGAAGACGGAGATGCGAACCATCTGTCACTGGATACCGCCCACTTAGAAATTACCCCTCTATAGCAGCTAGACTAACTCGAACGGTGAGTACTAGTAATGGGACTGAGATGTTTTTAGACGCTGTCGATACACAAACGTCACTAATTGAATCCATTGTATTCATCCCTTGAATCAGATGATTACGAACGGATTTAGAATTATTGAGATACGAAATTGCCGCATCGATGCATATCAATTACATCAAGTATCACAAAAGATATCTGCTTTTAACTGCTATCAAATATGAAATCAAGTTTTTATTCCCGATGATATTAGAACCAATGATAAATGATAAAAATATTTGCAATTACCGCATTTCAATCGTTTCCTTATTATTAGCAAGCTGTCCTGAATTCTTGACACTTTTTTGTTTGAACAGACGTTTATTTATCACATGTGGACACTACGAATAACGAATACTACATAGTTGCCCGGATCAATTATATAAAAATAAAAGAGTTCTTAAGCGCATGGTTCATTTAATCCTCGATTGATGCATTTTATTCTAATTCTTGAAACTTGTAGATAGAAATAAATTTGTAAATATTTCTTCATTCATAATCTAAGTAAAACATTGTTGATGACAACATGATTTAGTAGCAACATATCGTTGCTCAATAAGAAGTAGTTACGCTTGCATTTATACGTTTTATTGGATTTTATTGCATTTTACTCTAACCTTTAAAACTTTGAAAAAAAATTATATCTCGAATATTTATACGTTCTTAAAACTGACAAGAAATTTATTTCCTGAATATTTATAATACGTGTTTATGATTTAATTAATACTGAAACAACCATCACCTGTATCTGCAGAGTTACTAGATGCCTCCATTAGAAAACATCATGTTCGAATCATGTTCAATTATTTCAACGAATTTTATAAGAATTTTTCCATTAAGTATTCTATCGAGTAAATTACAGAAAAGAGAAATACAAGAAGATTCTTGACGCTTCCAGTTTCAAGTCACAATTACATAATTACTTAATTACAATTTTAAAAAGTATTGTACCTATTTAGGACGCTAGAATCATTGATCTATATAAACATTTATTCGAAATTACTTTCATAATATCCAACTGTGACATAAACACCTCATTGATATTTGAATTATAACGATATCGCAAAAACTGTCAAGAAGCAGAACTTTTTAATACAAATAACTACTTCTTTCGATAACTATTGCACATCTTAATGTAATGCTTGAAAATTCATACGAATTAATATTAATGAATATGTAATATGATTAGTCCCATCACTAGTATATACATATAAGTTGCCTTGCTCGTCCAAATCGTCTCACCGAGCTCCAAATTTTGTTTCGCCAACGTTCACTGGTTCCTTCGATTTTCTTCCCCAATCGCAGCCCGCCGAGACGCGCCTCAATTCCGTGTAAATTCGAAGGAAGTGGATATCGGTGCGAAATGTCGGTACTTTTTAACGATTCATCAGCGACTTACGCCTATATACAATGTAGACAGCGTTCAGCCGCATAGTTGCTATTACTTTTGTTCATTTCCTATGTGAACACTGGGAATTCTCATCTGTTATTACTAATCCGCGTATCCGTGTGTCAAACTCACTTCATGGAAACACGAACACCGCCAGTAACCAGTTGAGAGATACGCGCCGCGTGGTGCGCAAGGTAGATGCGCAGGATAATCAAATATTCTATTAATCAATTAATCGAAATTACTGCCAACTATTATTACACCAACTATTAATCATTACTATTAATGCTAAACCAGATACCAAATGATATCGACTGGAATTTGAATGACAATTCGAATGAATCACTTTTGGTTTTCGTCAAATACGAAATTAAAATATAAAATGTGAAATATAATATGGAAAATTATAACTATGTTAAGGAAAGAATAAAAAAGAGAGAAATACAAACTAAGAGTGAGAATTGTGATGAAAAGACTTACATGTGGAGTACACGAAGGTTGAACGTAGATTTCTTCACGCCAAAAGCAACGACGCATCAAAAGAAATATCATTTTGTACAAATAAGATGTTTGAAATGTTGTTTTACATTGTATATACACGAATAAATTGCTACCTTACGTGCTTTATAGATGCTCTCATTGCCAATGTACTAACATGGATCAAGGAGAAGTAAATATCTAGCTTCAAAATAATTAAAAATTTGCATTTCAGTCGATTTAAGTATACTGAAGACTATTGTTACGCTCGTACCATATTTTCATGTCATAGACATATGCATATATACTCTTTACTGATTTTTGTAAGCATTGCCCGAAGTAATGCCTTGGTTAACTGCTAATGGACGCCATTTTCGAAATAAACATGTATGCAGTTGTGTTTAAGAGTTAAAATTCTATGAACTAACTGATAGAAATACTGAATGGTATTGATTAAAGTTGCTTAAAAATAAATACATCGTATAAGTTTACATCTAAAAGTAACTTTTACTCATTTTTGTCATATTAACTTCAGGCCTTTTTGAAAAAATAGGCTCATAGGATAATTCAAAGGAGATAGAAAATATTCAAGCGTATTTCACTATCGCGTAAAAATAAGAAACAACAAACTAAACCCGGTGTTCGAAATAAATAAAACTTAGATTATATATCAGTAAAGAAATAATTCATATACTTTTTATAAAGAATTAGTTATGAAATCTGATAATAATATTTAGTAATAAATAAAAAAGTTACAATAGTAACCAATCAAAAAGTGATAATAATATCTAAATAGTAAAAGTATAAACACTCAAAAATAGTTCATATATAAATGACTACTCGACTAATCTCATATCATATGAATTGACAAAATCAAATTAATCCTTCAGTGCAGAGGCATTTCAATGCCCTGTTCCTAATGCAGATTTGCAAAATGTTAAGATAATAATATGTGATTACGGAAAGATGTTCCTTTTATCTACAAATCAGAAGAAACCATGTTACAGTTCCTCTACTCATTTTGAAGAGGTAAAACCAAGAGTCAGAGCTTTCACGATACTTGCCACTCTACACTGAACCATTAAGTCGTTTTAAGTTTCATGGAATATCATGGTATTGAAATCAATCAATCGGACGAAATTAATTCTTCTATGCAAAAAACACAATACAACTTACTCGTTATGTTATAACCTATTGGGATTGTTTTATATTACATTGACTGCCACGTTTCTCATTATGATTGTCGTCTTGATTGAAATTTACAAGCAACGCCGCATCATTTAAACACAAAAGATATCCGAACTTTAGTCCTATGTTTCAAATTCCATAATATACAAATTTTTATCCGAAACATCGTTTCATGATACAAATTAAATTCTAGAATCGGCAGTCAATATAATATAGAACATAGTTGGACCCTTAATTCGAATGGATGAAATTAAGCGAAGGTAACTGTATTTGTTCAATTTATAACATAATTTACCGTCAGCAGTACAAACCATGGACTATGATGAGGTGAAAATTCTATTGCAACAAAATAATGATACCAAACATTAAAATTGGAACGAGGGTGACTTGAATCCCAAAACTGTTAAGCGATAGACTGATCAGTCTGAAGTCCTGATACAAACACGTTCGACAATTCGCAGTTCGTTACAAAAAGACAACTGTTGTTGTAGAAAAATCTACCATATGAATTGGGAAACAACATGAATGGTACAATATTAATCTAGTGTTAATCTAATTATCGACAGTTTGACAGAAATCATTATTCTTGAAACGTCGTAGTAAACATTTGCAGTTAGTCTGAATTAATACATCTCTTTTCTAACGGCAATATAACCGCGCAAAACTGTATACTTGCTGTCATAACGAAAATAATATCGTACTTTTAACTATAAAGCGATAGAATAAAATAAAAGAAAACCTCCGTTTAACAAAGATTAACGTGGGTTCAATTAAACTTCGCAATATAAGAATTCCTACTATTCACATGGGAAAATGAAGACGCAAAGTTGGACATATGTCTGCACGCTAACACTTTCGCTCGTTACTATACAAACCTAGTTACCTAATTTGGCCACCTTAAATTTCTCATATAGCGTGCGTTGTGTGAAAAAACATTGTCAAACAAATATCGCATGGTATTGAGAAAAGACTGTACAGCACAGTAATTAGTATTTTGCCGCCTTGCTTGTTTACAGAGAAACAAAAGATACCTCAACATTTTGAAAAGAGACACACAATATTCATTTTGGAATTCGAAAGAGTATCGTCAATGAAAAACATATCAAGGTATGCTGTATTGAAAATTAATAATTATTAAGATATTCTGGCAAATATTTGTAATATAAAATACATTTTATTGTATTTATATACTTCCTCCGATTTTCAAGCTTTCCTATACTTTGTATCAAAATATTCATCTGATTGAATAAATTCAATTCAATTCAATTCAATAAGTGATGGACGTCGTTCGAAATATTGCTCATTAGGATCAATGAGTTTTAGCGTTTCTACAATTAGAGCATTATATGTTCTAATGATACATCTTTACGAAACTTTGGCTATCTTTACTGCTCACAATAAACTCAACTTTTTGTATTTCACGAAGGCAAGTAGTCAAGTGATAGTAGTAGTTAACTAAAAAAGCATTGTTTATGTTAGAAATTCTATTCAATTAATGGTAGTCCCTTGAAAGTAGACATGCGTATAAAATACTAGCAGGTGGAATAAATTACCCGACGTTCATTTTTTTAGTAATTTTGGTACCGAACATTACTCATACAATGCTATGAAATTAAATATCAAATTGTTACTAAACAAAACGTTCTATATGTTATACATATATATATCGCATTATGGGTAGAACACAATAATCACGCTATGCAATGAAAATAACTATGCAAGTACAACAAAAAATTTAATATCATAACTACAATGTAATATCAATGTATATCAATCTAATCCATTGATCTTACTGTAGTATACTTGGATTATAAACTTAACGTTTGGTGATGGGCTTTGTTCTTATTTGGATAAAGTCTCGCCATTCCATCAATTGTGTCGGCCATTATATTTATTCCACTTGTGAATCATATTTCACTGAGTGTTTGATACTATCTCAAATTCCAAAGTAAAATGTTGGATATTCAATTGAAAACATTCAAGGTTACCTTGGTGTCTCGATAAAATATCAAGATAGTTAAATGATTACCGCGATATACGTCATACTTACCATCATACAATTATTGTTCAAGAAATGTTTCCACACAACAAATAGTCTGAGTGATTTTAATTGGCCAAGTAAGGTGGCTAAACCTGTGTGTTCGTTAAATTTCTATTTTACCGCGACAAGTGACATCGTTTTTATTATATACCTTCTCCAGGGGAGAAGGTTTACACGCAATGGAGAATAAATTGATCAGGACGTATAAAAAAAGATCGAGGATACCGACATTTCCTTCGATCTACCTAAGTTAAGTATTTACAAATCTACAAGCGAACGTGCCTCGTCTACGTTATCTACGATTAGGCTAATTCTCATAGTATCGAAGCGTCGAGAAAAAGTCGTCGTAAAGTCGCCGTCGAAGAAACGACAGCCTGTAAGCGTTCGTTCATCCCGAGCAGTGGTTCTCAACGAATAATCAGCGAACAATCGTTTCTTCTTCTTCGTCTTCTATGTACATACATTTCTGTTTCGAGACGTTCCGTTCGAAAGTGTGCTTCGAAACGGCTGAGAATCACTGGGCTCGAGGAACCAGCGGGATCGATTCCTCGATCGTAATCTTTTTTTTTTTTTGTTCCTTTTCTGAATTTTCTTTATCCTTAATGGAAAAATACTATGCAATATACAGATTGCACTCGCCGCCCCCGATCGAATCGACTGATCGCCTCAACCCGATCGGACGACGAGGCTCGACCCCACCGTTGTGCCGTCGATATAACAGTAAATGTACAATCAGAAATAGAAATCGTAACCTATGGGAACTGGTGGCTGTGTCTAAGACACGCGACGCACACTTACAGGCCCTATTTACACGCGAGGGATCGCACGCGTCACGATGAATGGTACTGCGAGAAGCTGCAAATGTTGAACTCGAGTGATTTCCTCGCCATGTTCAAAGAAAGTTGTTCGTGTCCATAAAATGCGTTTTAGTAATGGTAATGCTATACAAAATATCGATTAACATGTTAACATGTTATGTGCATTCAACCCTATAATATATGTACCCTCTATGTCTATTGAAGAAATTTGTCTAAATTTAATGATAGGTGTAATGTTTCCAAATAAATGTTTCATTAGAAATATATACATGAGTAAACTGTACACATTTGTATATTTATAATGAACAATTTATTTGGAAACATCAAACCTATCATCCAATCTAAACAATTTTCTTCTGTAGATATCGGGGATCCGAATTCTTATGTCACTGACTGCATATTTAATTGTATATACAAAATCATCGTATTGTTCTTATACGATATATCATGACTCTTAAAAAAAGTTCTACCAATTTGTCGAGAGACTTTTAGCAACAAGGCATACATTATTCAAAAATGTACATTTCAATATGAAAAGTTTATTTAACATTGTAATGTATAAAAACAGAATAATACGAAAATTAATTAACATATTGTATTGTATGTAAACGATACCAAATGTCTCACAAGAAATGAACTCACGTAACGTCATGAAGAGATTGAAAGCAATTATTTTGTTAAAGTTAAACGTAAAATAACAGCGCACCATCAGAGGGTATTTTACCAAAATTTGCATAACAGTCAACGCGCAACACTAAACTAATCTATTCGAAAAATTCTTACCATCGAATTGGAATTCCATTCAAAGGCAACCTTTGCAGCTCTCCAATAATACTCTTCATGTACATCGTACATCCGCCAACGCGAATGCTGCCGAAATCGCGCGGCAATTATTGTATCTGCAGTTTGTACTAATATCAATGCCTCGTTTCGCTACGAGCAGCCATTCCAGTTAAGGGGGCAGTCAAGTGCTTTTAGATCTGACCGCGCGATAAAGAAACTTGTGTAAATAATAATAATCTCTTCGTCTCCTTCGATTCGGAACAATCATTCGTATCAATCACACGCTATCGAGGTAGAATTTCTTTTTGCTATCGAGCTTTCAATGAATAAGACTAGCAATTAAAACGTTGTTCGAAAAAAAAAAAATATCTCGTCAAACAACGACAAAATAGCTACACCTGTAATAAATTTTATTTCGATTCGGATACTTCTCCTGATAGGAAAAGATAATAAAGGAAAGATTTTCAATTCAAAGTAGCGGAGACCGCCCCCCTAACCGCCGTCCGCGCGAAATGGCAAGAAGACAGACATCAGGGTGAGAGAAACGAAGTGTCTTTCGCGCGAGTAGCTTGAGTCGCGAATAGAGCATCGGTGAAACCTCGAATCGGCGACGAAATGATTGATAGTGCATGATTACATTCATCTTCTCTTCGTTCCTCGAAGAGCAAAGCTCCAAGTGACCAAGGTAAACATCCAAATTCGCGAGCACGAAGGTAATCAACCCTCTCTGCTCTTCTCGCCGACCAACGAATGCTGGGAAGAAGTATAAAAATGACCCGATAGAAAATGCCTTAATCCTAACAAGTTTTGCACGTATTCGCTCGGCGGGTTTGGTAAAACCAACGCGCAAATGCGTAAAACTTCCCCTACTAAAGACGACCTAAATACCTGCGCGTAACCCTGCGAAAAAGTTGCATGTAGCACCTTATCTCGTATCACTAACGAGCGTCGGATCCACCGAATCTCTCATCGCATCGTCGAGAAATAAAATTCCCACTAGCGTCCACCCCTACTCCAAAGTTGAGCGCTGATTATTTTTCCAATAATCACTCGCGATTGTCGGATTAATGGGTAATCGTAAACTACATATGTAATCTGTAATTATAAATCGATGATTTGTAATCTTACAGAGCTAATTGTATCTGATTATCCAAGAATTCAATTTTGCCCAACACTGCCCTGACGCGATCACCGGATCGTACGGGGACAACAAAGACGATAGAGAAGTAGTGGACGCGAGAAGGCGGTTCTTAATCTAAGTACATACATTGTATTCCGTGCACACGTCGAACGCGAGATTATTCAAAAAGGATTTTTATCGGAAAATTAGAGGCTTCCTATTGAAGCCTCGATGTCTCCTTTCCACTCTGCGCAGATTGCTCGATCGCGCTATACGGGTTCGCACGAAATCTCTTCTTCGCGGTTAGACAATAATATCAACACCGGTCTAACGATTAATTGATAATCAGAGCCGTGTCTTACACTGGGATACGCACTTAACATTTATGTACAACGCACGTATAGTATTTCTATATACAGTCGATAAAACGTTTGATCGAAGAGTCTTCGTAGCTTCATCCGCATCTTCGTAATGCCACTCGGTATACTTATTGCATCTCTCCTGTACATACGTAATATATATTTATATCCATTTGTTCTGTAACTATTTGCCATCCTCATCCGAGAGCTGCGCCTCGACTTTGTTTCGCAAGGCACAAGCCTCCCCCGTATTCGATTCATCTCGCTGCGCGAAACGTGGAAGTCTCTCGCTCTCGAAACACTGATTGTGTTCCGTAGCGTGTCGAACAATCGGTCCCATTGCCGGTGTATCGTTTAAATCTATCACAATACCGTAATAATCACGTATTTTTCTCGAACGGTAAAACAATACGTCATTGCACGAGTTTTGAGTGAGACGTCTGAAACCTTGCGGCGCACTTTCGCGAATCTCAGTAGGTATTTTGATTACAACAGCGAAGAAAGACAGTCTCGATGGTTAGCATCCGCGAAATCCATCGTCCGACGAATAGTTACGGCGCCAAAATAAACATAGTGCACCTCATTGAAACTCCGATGGTGAAGAAAGACGCGAGATACTGGTCGCAAAACTGTAAATCAACAATCACTTTTGATTATGTACACAACACGTACGTAGGTATCGGACCGATAACCTTAAATCCTGATCCACGTACGCCGTCTTCGGTTAACTCGGTAAGTAAAAATTAACGCTCGTAACAATATAACCATAGAAAAAAATTTGATCGATGTCGACGTAAACAATGTGTCTCCTACACTGTAATAATAAATAATGCTCGAGGCTCGCGATGTCACCCAACGACCTCTCCAACACCCAGCGTGTGCGATAATGATCGCGACAGTGTATCGGTTTGTCATAACGTTGGATTTTACCCCACGTTTCTTCAAAGTCTTCCAATGTCTCTGTGGTACGAACTTGGTCTCGTTCGTCCACGTAACGCGTTCCACGCACGAAATCATCCAGTGATCTCGATTCGGCTCGATCTCGAGCCTCACACGCTGCAAACGACACAGTCGAGCACGGCGCCGACCGTGACGGTCACGGCGATTCATTTATTTCGCAATATTTTTGGCTGACGACAATTAAGTAACACCCGTTAACTTAATCGTCAGCTTTAGCTGTTCTCAAACAACCCCCGGTTGCATAGTCAATAGATAAGTGGTGGGGTCGTAGTAGCCTGCCAAATAGTAAATGTCGTTGTTGTCGTAGATCGTCAGATACCTGTGCGGTTCTTTGCCTAGTTTGTCCGTGTATTCCGGAAGTGGTAGCACCTCGCACTTGTGAGAGATTGTTTGGACGTCATTTTCGTCCATGTGAGGAGACTCGAAGAGAGCACCCTAAACAATTCCAGAAATATTTTCCATTAGTACTTCCAGAAGACAGTAGATGGAATCGAGCGAACATTTATGCTAAAGTATCGGATGCTAGTTGCGAGACGTGGTAGGGATCAGACATGAGCATTTTTAAAATGGTATTATTTGAAATATTATGTCAAATAGCATATTATTTTACTTTATAATTACTTAAAATAATTCTGTAATTTTTTCTAAAATTATACGAGGTGAAATCACAAGTGAAATCACACTTTCTAGTCATACATTGATAAAGAATTCTTTGTTTCTTTCAATCAATTATATAAATCCTTAAAGTTTGCATCTACAATCTTATACCTACAACTTCACAACAAATCTTGTAAAATCCTAATTTATTATTGGACAATTAATCGCACTCTTACCGGATATTTCAGATTTGCCGGGCATCCTACTGTCTCCTCAGGATGATAGAACCATTTGACTTTCACGATCATGTTGGAACTCGAAGTTTCCCACATGGATTCAATGCGACCAATATAAGGTCTGTCTGGTCTGCCAGTCGACAGAAAAACGGCACTATCGCCAATCTGAATTGTTTCACTGCCGCGCTGTATCGCCTTGAAGAATTGCTTCTTGGCCCTTCCTTTAGCACCCGGCCGTCTATAACCTTTGCCTGCCCATCCCCACAGCTGTCTAGCCGGCAAAAACGCGGCCATTTTACTTCGACTTTCCACTGACTCCTGTCGTTCACGCATCTTTGACTTCTTGTCCGCTTTCTTCGGCTTCTCTTGCTTCTGCTCGCGAACGGGCTCTACGATCGGTTCTGGAATGACTTCTTCCTCTACTACTGTTTCTTCTTCGACTTCTACTTCGGGCTCTGCTGTAGTTACTGGTTCCTTGACCATCTCTTCCTCGCTCTTCTGACCGCAACAGCTATCCCCACTACTAAAAAATATTTAAAAACATTCGAGTTATAATTCTCGTTTATCAAATTCAAAAAGAAACGAGTTGTAGAATAAGCGATAGACGTTATATCGTTTAAATTGGTAGAACCATGTTTACACGTAACATTTATATAAAGTTACCTACAAGTTTGTATTAAATAGGCTTATGAAATAATCTAATATTTTATTCGTAAAAATAAATACAAGTTTTCAATTTACCCTTGTAACCAATTATAAACAACACTTAATCTTTGAATTAGAAAAAATGATGTTCTTTCTTTTTAATGAATATTACAGGACAGTTTTAAATATTTTCGAAGAGGCATTTAAACATACGCGTTTTGTCCTTTTTAGTGCTTCAAGTCGAACAATATATTTTTAATAATTAACTGTTCCAAAAATTGTTCATTATTAAATTGTTCAATATAAGTACAGTATCAGGTAGGTTTGTATTTTACCGCCTAGAATCTCTTCCTGGTTGTACCATGATCACTAACTCGCGACATATGATACAAGTTAAAGGAGCAAACCTTATATGACTTCCTTCGCTGTGGCTGCTGTGATGGCTGTGCTTGTGCTTATGCTTTCGATGTTTCCTGTGCTTGTGCTTCCTGTGTTCTTCGCAACACTTGTGCTTCCTGTGCTTCTTCTTTCCCTCTTGGGCCTCCTGCAGTCTCTTTAGTTTGTCTCTTCTCCTCTTCTTCATGCGTTTCCTCTCACGGTACTCTTCTAGATCCTTGGCATCCATGTCATCGGACTTGTATCGTTCCAGCGACTGTCCATCAGACGACGAAACGTAACAACACGTCGTGGAGGTAACAGCGGGAATCGCATTGTTCGCATTTAACGAAGTGGACGGTTGATTGTTGCTGGACGAGCGTTTATCTTCTGTAGATACCGACGTTTGCCTTCGACGCTTGCCCAGTGACAATAGGGGATTTGGATCGTATTCTGTAATCGAAAGGAAAACTAAGTATGCACGAATCTGGACAAATTGTGCAGGATATTAAAGTTTTTGAATATTTAATTTAGCCCTAATATTGCGAGACATACAGTAACTCCCGCTTTTAGGTGACTTTTATATCGAGTTCAAGTGATAGAATCGTCCCGTTTGATATGTAACAACTTGCCTATTGATAGCGATAATATAATATGTAATTATTCGTTCTTTAATGAAAATTATAATTTTTGTATTTCTTATTATATCTTCGTGAGAGCATTAGTAATGGATTCGTGACGTTTTTTCAATGAAAATGAGCCCAAACGCGACCTTCTTTGAATTATTTTTTATTAAAAATAAATGGAAGTTCCTTACAAATAATTCAAATAGCATATAATTAAAACTGGTCCAAATAAGTTTGTACTTTAACTCAATTTCATCCAGGCAACTTCACCAGTCCATCGATAATAGGAGCATTTACTTATTTTGCTATCGAGTTATCTTTCTTGCTTTTTTCGTAATAAATTGTACTTACTGTACTGTGTGATAACTATAATAAACATAATATAGTTATCAAAAGTGCTTCTTTCGCACCATGTTCTAATATGGGGCGGCAATGTGATAGTTTGCACGAAGCCGACGACCCTGGACATAGGTGACATTTTTTACTTTAACAGCGCAGAATGTTACAGCAAACAGATTCAATAAAAACTACTTTAAAGATATAAGAAAGTAACGTCTAATAATGGAACAGAAGTGTTCAACTACACCTACTACAGCTATTAAAGATAATTGGAACTGGTAGATCTAGTGTAGAGACAAGCAGAACTCTTCCTGTGCACTATAGATACACCATACATAGGAATATAAGAATAGCTAAATAGTTAAAACAGTCCACGAGTGATGTTCTGTAAGCGGCTGGATTCGTTTTTACACGTCGTTATTATGATAATAAAGTCAGAGTAAAAGAAGTTCAAGTTAGGTATCATTGGCGTAGGGGAATTTAATATTTTCTAGAAATGTAGTTAAGCTTTTGTCTAGAATTTACGTGTAACTAAATTCTTAGAGAAACGTTCAACTTATGTTTAAATTAAAAACATTTTCACCATAGATATTTTGTTATCTATGATTACGATCTACTAGGAATCAATATATTTAAGTACAAAAGAGCAACCTCAGATCTAATATTCCTACTTAGAATTTTAAACGGCAAAATTACTCGGTGACCAACAATGTCCGAAACTAGCTCATAATGACTCTAACAGAATCTGCAATCTTCAAATAATAAACAGCCGTAGTCAAAGCGAGGACCTTTCATTGAGTTCGTTTAAAAACTGCATTAACAAATCTTTAGGTCTGAATCATGGCTGTAAACAGTAATTGTTATAAATTCTGTATACACTGCCTGCCATAAACATTAAGACACTTATCCTGCGTGGATTGAATGTAAAAAAAAGTCATTTTACATTTTTTCTATGTGATCGAAGTTCGGTGATTGTGCTAATCAATGCATAATTTTCAGTTTATTACGATCTTCTAATTTATCTAAATAGTCTTTGCAAATTCTTGACGCGTGCTTCGGATGATCGTTGTCATGTATAAATACCACTCGAAACGAAACTAAACTATAACGAACGAGTCCAAGTGTTTGAACACCCAGATAGCACAGGGACGTCTTATGTACGTCCAAACGTCCTCTGAACGTCCTGTGAACGTCCCTGGAACGTCCCAGTTACATCGCAGGACGTCCCTGGGACGTTATTAAATAATGATTGTATACCCAGATACCACAGGAACAGGAACGTCTTATGTACGTCCATGGAACGTTCGGTGCTGGACATTCCCAGAACGTTTTCTGTACGTTCTCTGTACGTCCATGAGACGTCCGGTGCTATCTGGGCATTCACTTCAACGCTACTAAATGTAATATGACACATGGAAACAGAACCTGACATACACAAAAATTCACACTGAAACATAAAAAGTATCTAATACGTGAAGACTCTCACAACTCAACGTAAACAAACGTTTAGTAACAACGTGACACACCATTTTAATAAATAAAGTGCAATAAAGTTATAAATTAACTACATATATAATAAATATTTATATTTGAGCATATATTCCATTTAAATCCAAAAATGAAAGTAATTAAAAATGATATTCTGTGATGAATATCACATTTTGTACAAATGCAGCAGGTGTTCTAATACTTATGGCCGGCAGTGGACGTGCTAATATTGTCATAATGCAAGTTTCTTTCCGTTTATAAACGAAATAAATAAATCAGTGCACACGATGTACGTATAAAATGAATAGGTAGCGTAAAGAATGGATACTGAGAAAGAGAGAGTCCCTTAATGGCAAGTGTAGCAAACATTCCCGCAATAATCTCGTGCGATAAAAAAAAGTCTAATATAAACAAAAGAACTTACCAACGACAGGATAATCAGGCTGCAGCAACCTGATATCATCCAAAGCGATTCTTCCACTGTCACCATCGTCGAACTCCACGCTAACGAACTTCTCGTCAAGCTCGGGGTCAGGTTCGGTGGGTTCCACGGATGTGCCTGGGTATAAGCACCGATATTGCTGGCTCCAGTAGGCGCAGAGTCTCGTACCGGGTGGTAACTCTTTCGTCGAACTAGGACAGACCTCCACGATCTAGGAAAACGAAGCGTTATTTCATGAAAATTTACGTTCAAACAAAAACGTCAAGCGAAACAAAACACCAAATGAATCACTGTTAATTTACCGCGTCTCGTAGAATCTCCTCTCTGGAATGGATGTGGGGTCTGTTGCCTCGTTCGCCGTCCAACGTGATCGCATAAACGTCAGGTGCTTGGACAGCGCTGAGTCTTCCGGCGTAAAACAGACCACCCATCGCCGTGAGAACTCTCAGCTGATCAATGTCCAAGTGCGCCGATGTCAGTTTGCATTTGTTGACGATCTCCGTCTTCTCGGCTTTGGCTGCTTTGGCGCATTCCTTGCACTCTTTGCACTCAAGCGACTTCCTGCGTTTCGCTTCTTTCTTCTCGCGATCAGTAGATTTGCGTCGCGAAGGCGACGACGAACTGGACTTCCGTTTCTTCTTCTTCGACTTCTCGTGTCTGCTCTTCTCGGACTCTGTCTCGATTGGCTCTGGCAACTCCGCTGGGATTTCCTGAAACATTATCACGTTGTTTTAGGACGAAACGATTCCCGATGAAACATGTTGCATAAACACCAAAATAATTTGTCTTTGTTTTCATTTTTTGTATATAAACACATATACAGTTCCTCGATTCAGGGATTTTCATTAAAAAAGTAAAAAAATTAATTTTGAAGGCAAAGTGTTAAAGAAAATAAATTTAAAAATAGGATTCATGAATTTTGATAAGATCACAAAAATAAGTACTATAATAAATGTTTCCGATTGTCTTGAAAAACAAATTTTAGTCTTGTAAAAATAATCACAATTAGTAAGCAGTCATCGTGTTAAATGTCTGTTATCCATTATATTGAAAAAAGCTCATTGTTTTTATTACCTTAGACACACGATTCTGATATTACTTTAGCAGAGTGCATTAAAGCACGAGCAATTAATTTCTTAGCATGACCAATTGAATAAGATAAAAAATTCTACACATTTCAGGTATTGTTCATCTTAATAGAACGGTTTGAAATATAAAAAAGTAGGACATCAGCTTTCAGTCTTTATTATACGTTCATTGGTGTTATATCTCTGATGGATGTTAATAAGACCTAATTTATTATGTCCAATCAATCTTATAAGAGATTTAATTTTTATACATATATCATACAATAAATTGCGTTCTTTTAAAAGCTTAATCATTCGATATTCAATTACATGTTTGTGTTACAATTCTCTCCCTCTGTGTTTCCTTCAAAGTTTAATGTTGTAAAAAGCTACAAGTAAGCTACAAGTTTCTTTTGTTCGCAGTATTTGAAATAACCACATACTTGTGATCCATAACGTTATATTTTACCGAGTTTATAAAAACGACTGAAAACTGATAATTTATTTTTTATTTGTGTTACCTCCACTGGTTCCTGCACAGTAGACTCTGGCAATACGTTCTCCACAGCACTAGAAGACTCATCATCCTCCCAAGTCTTCACCTTTACTTCTGCTTTTAGTTTCGGTTTCAACTTGCTCTGTTTCTCCAACTTCACTTCTTGACTCAATTTCGCTTTCTCCGCAATGATCGAGCTGATCACAGTCTTACTGTGCAAGGGCGTCTGTTTCGCAGGCTTCGGTTTCGATTTTCCTGATTTATGACCCTTGGAAGAGGATTTTAGCGAAGATAATCCAGTTTTGAAGGGTAGCGGCGTATATCCAGTTTTACCCACGTACTGTGGAAGAAAATTACGATTTTATTGTAAAGAGTCTTGTACATTCACTGTCGTCTAACGAGGGGCATCAGACGTTAATTTTAACGAAACTTTACATACATATGAAACATTACTACACATTAACAATGTATTTTTATTCATCTTCATAAACATTGTAAAATATTAAGAATGTACTAAAATAAACGTGGTGCCTGGTTACTTAAACATTTTAAACATTAATGGTAATAGACAAAACCTGTTGGCTACAGTAGCATCAGCGACGAATTGATGAAATCGCCAAACAATCAAATTATTTGCATATTTAACATTTAAAATGTATAAAATGTTTTATCTCATAAAGACAAAAAAATTGTGTCTATAACTTCAAAGGTATGTTTTGTCACTCTAAATATGAATTTTGACATATAAAAAGACATATCTACGTGTCTAATATTTTTTAATGCTCTGTCTGTGTAGAAAATTCCATAAAAATCAGTGTGCACACAGTTGGGTAACATGCCTTGAAGTTCGATTACTCACCTTTGCCTGAAGATGTCGGTTTTTCGATGACAAAAGGTATCCTACTAGAGAACTTTTGCTTTTTGGCTTTTTCGCGACTATCGTCTCTGTTAGATGTCTGACACTTCCTGATGTACACATCAGCTTCCTGGGCCGACCGACCTTCCTTTTCTTTGAAGCTGAACTGGAACTCGCAACCGTCGGCGCTGGTGATGACGTATCGTATCCCATCTGTTTAAATTTGGACAAAATGTGTAGAATCCACACTTGAAATTTGTTTAATTTGATGGTATAAATCGCTTTATAAAAGAAACGTAATCCTTAATTAAAATACTATCAGTGATGTTTTAACAGTGTAACAACCCGATTCTAATGTTAAATCGTATTTCTCACTAAATGTATTTTAGCAAATGTTTCGTAAAAAGGAGTTTCGTCAAACATATATTTAATATCTTATTTTATTTCATTAAGATATTTCTTTAAGATCTCGTTATATAACAATGTCACAGTACACTTCTTTAATGTATAAAGTTTTCCAGAAGAGGTTTTAGGATCTTGTTCTTTACTAACAAAATACATCTGTCAGGATAGTCATGGTGGAAACTTAAACATCATCTGCATGTTTTATTGCTATTAACTTATAATAAAAATAAAATTATAATCACAATATCAACAATATTCCAGTGAATTTGTGTTTTATTAAAAAACAAAATCATAAAGTCCTTATGTATCGTATAACATAAAATGATTTGTTCAACATTTTTATAACACGCAAAAGGACATCAATTCAAAGTTGTACTTTTGTTATTTCTTATAACTATAGAATATAATTTATCATTTAAAAAGGTAAGGGAAATAATAGACCCGGGAAATTCCCAATCAAAGACAGCCAAGCTGAACGTAATAACTTTTCAAAAGCTTAGTAATCAAACAGTTATTGATATTGGAAAATATCAGATTTAAATTCCAATAATCGATTTGAATGCCATCAACTAATATGTCATCAATTAATATTTCATTGCATGGCTTTTCTGATTACCTCACTCCACTTGCAAGCTGGCCTTTCAATTGATTTTATTTGTCACGAAATTTTTTCCTGTTAGAACATCTAGTTTGTTTAAAAGCATGTCGAGTTCGAGTTTAACTTCGACAAGTGGGGAGGAGTTTTAATTATCGTTACGCAGCTTTATAACAACCATTCGCTTCCAATTTTTGTGTTACGTTAAAAAAGAAAACTACCTGGCATTGTTGTACTTTATTTAGAATTATTTTACACAATTATTAAGCACGTCTACTTGTCTATATTTCGATTAATTTCAATGAATCCGAATGTTAAGGTAATTCTTGATCAGTAATTTGTCATTAAAACAAACAGATCTAAAAATATTATTGAATAAGGAGCTCTGAGTCCATCGTCCCAAATTTATTTATTTCACATTTGCGTCCTACATTTCGGACACTGCTAAGAATCGTATATCAATGAAGATCATATTACAAATATAAAATCAAGTACAAGAAATAAGAAAAAAGGGATAACAAAATGTTCACTTTAGAGCGTGTTTTATTTCTAAATTTCGTCCACATATGATCTTGATTCATGAAAAATACAAACTTAAGTGATTTAAGACTCCCTATCAATAAAATCTACATACATACATGTATATGAAATATTTCGTCCTTCTGAAAGAAACTCATCTTCCTTCGTTTACTCAGAATTACTGAGGTTTCTTTATCGCAGACTGTGAAGTGAACGTAATAGAGAAATTGAACGATTCAGAAATTGAACTCACCCTTCCTGTGCTTTTCTCATCGTCGTCTTGCGGTGCTTTACTCGAGGGTAGAACGGTGATAGGCGAGGCGACTGGTGGAACGGGGATAGGAATGCTCGGTATACTGTCCAACAGTTTAATGTGACTTCTTGGCTCACCCAGTTTCACCAAGTTCACGTTACACCTCGGCATAGCAAGAACATTGGGAGTCAACGGTGGTGGAGATCCATTGAGCGAGCGTGACGGAGATTTATGCGGTGAAGGCATTCGCTCTAACGCTGATGGCGACGCCAAAGGTCCATGATCAGAACTGTGAACATTTACCATAAAACGTTAATCTTCCTTACCAATTTCTTAACTATTCAACATGTACTAGAATACAGTTTATTGCGATTGGACCTAACAATGACTTCCAAAGTGATACGCTCTCGAGGTCATTTGTGATTTCTGCAAATTAAAACTTTATAATAAAAAGAGAAACCTTCTTCAGTCTGATACAAAGGATTGCCTTTACTAGATGAGCTAAAAATACCTGTTTTTACGTCAACCTTTTGAGTGATTACAACATGGTTTTATTACATCGTGAATGGCATTCTAATATGCTTGGACAATCTATGCTCGACCTTAATAAACCTTCGAAACGAAGAGATATAGTAATATCAATTACACTCTACACCTAAGGAATATATATATTTTCAAGGAATATATTTTTAAGGAATATCTCTTTTCTATATTCGAGTTTAGTTCCAACAAAGTCGGTGGATGTGATAAATAAGTATCTGCAATTTCGTGAAGTTACTACAGTGACTGTCATCACTAGTGTACGCTGTATAAACAGTCTTGCATAACAACTTCTCACTGAATATAGCCTCTATCGAAAAATTGATCTGTTACTGGCAATGACTGTTCACTAACATATCCATTATTTAATAGTAATTTAACGTAAATTTTTCCAAAAAAATCGTACTCAAGGAACTAAATTTGTAATATCATCAATTTTGTATTTAACTGTAAAAGTGTTCTGAAATCGTATCGTAACTCCAATATAATGTACTTTATAAAAGCTGAATTATTTACTTGAGTAAGCCTAAAGATCTCCGTTGCCTACGAATATCTACAAAAATTGTTCAGGATCAAATTAAACTACATATTTGAAGGTGCACATATTACGATAGAAAGAAAATATTTCCAAACGTCAAGGGTTTCAACATTTCGAAGTCGTCAATGTTTTTTTTAAATAAAAGTACATAATATTCTATATAATCTCTAGTAATGTTACAATCATCTATCCTCCAAATGTGTATTTATTTTTAATAAACCTGATTTGAGGATAGTAGAGGCTCAAAGTAATGACTAGACTGCGAATGTCAATTTGCGAATACAAATACATATTTTCACAAGTACAGAAAAAGAATTGAATGAAACTTGAATGAAAGTACATATGTCTTATCTTCTAAACGGCACAACATGTATATTATTGTTGATATTTTCTATATTTTTGCATTTCTACATATTCTCATGGATTTGATCATATTTCCATTTGTCATAAATGCATAAACATTCACAGTCAAGTAATGAACCTTCTGTATTAACACAGAACTAGAGGCATCTTGATCTTCAAAGAACGACCTCACAAACAATTATTTTTCTGTCGCTATGTTCGATCCTTCGAATAGCCTAACTTTGCCCTGAACAATTTTTTAAGTGCTCCCAGTTAAATGGTGAGCCCGCATATTGTACTAAAGTATGGTAATTATAAAACTCTTGAACGAGAGCCCTCCTTAGACTCTCGAGTAGCGAAAGAATTGAAAACAAAGTCTCATATGAAAAATTCACCTGGAAGAATGGCTCTTCTTTCGCGGTCTGCCAGGACTCTTCTTCTCATCTTTCTTCGGAGTTAGCTTAGACAACTCTTTCTGTTTCTCTCTGTACTGCCTCTGAATGTCAGCCAACCTGACCCTCATATCCAGCTCCATGGCATCCATGTTCGGCCAATCGGCGTCGTTGTCCATGTGACCCTTTCGGGCGATGAACTTTTTCGCGTCCAGTTTCGCTTGCAAGTTCCTGTAATCGTGGCAATCGCGCTGCTCTCCCGCGGAGAGTCTCCTCTTCACGTCTCTGACACCTTCTTGCATCATCGCCTCCGCATACGCTTTTTGACTGTACACCTTCAAATCAGAGTCCGACAAATTGCCTTCCATAGTTCTCTCGTAGTAAGCACCATTCATCTGATACTCGTTAAAATGGCGATCGTAATGCTCGAAATCATCGATTCTTTCATAATCTGAATCTATGCACGGTCTATTTCCACCAGCGGGATCGTCCTTCAGCGGTGGATCATCCTCGTCGTTTACGTTGACACCGTTTCTTTCAGAAAAATCGATGCTTCTTCTTGTTGCCTCCTTTACCCCTATTACTATATTGTTCGCTTGCAACCTCGCCTCGTATTGCTTGCTCGTATCGCTTTCTTCATCGTAATGCAATGCGTCACACTTGAACTCTTCATCCTCGCATTTGTTGCCGCTCTTGAATCTCTTCGAGCTGTCATAGTTCTCGTCCTCCGACTGGACGAACTTCCTCTTGTCCAACGTTTTCCCTTCCTTCTCCGGATGACTCGATCTACCCAAGTTCAGCAACAATCTACCAGCGTGCGATATCTCTTCAGAGCTGTCAAGGTTCAGCTTCCTCGGCACTTTATCGACCACCTCCTCCATAAACCTTTGTTCCGCAAGAGCGCATAACAACCCCAACGGACTGTCCACGCTGTTGTTGTTGTTGCTCTCCCCTGGCGGAGAAATCAGCTTAGTTCTAATAGGTGATTTCTCAAGATCGGCTGCTGTGGCGGCGACCTGGGCGTCCGGTTTCAGCTGCTCCAGTTGTTCGATACTATTCGACAATAGCTCCAACCCGCTTATGTCAACCGTAGGCCTCTGTTTGGAACTGATCGCAGCCCTCGATTTTGAATTTTGATTGTCTGACGACGAGGCAAACGTCTCGTCTGAAACTTCCATTCTACGGTGTTTCTTCGGGGTGACCGCGTCGCTGTCAAAACAGTTCGCCTCTCTCGTCTCGTACACGGCAGACGACGAAGTCTTTTCCTTCTTCACGAGCAACTCTTCGTTATCGACCGCCTTGATATTGTTGTTATTGCTCCTGGTGTCGTTATTGTTATCGTTCAGGAAGTACTCACTGGGCAAAGCGTGTTTCTTCGCGAGAGAATTAGACGGATCGTTCTCTTTCGTTGCCGTATACCTGGGGAGATCCTGAGAGTTATACGCGGATCTCGTTGTCTCCGTCGAGGAAACCTCAGGTTCTCTTGGAATTTCACGGTGCTCCATAAACTGAGCAATCTCGCAGGACCTCAGTATGTGTTTCTTCAAGCCGTTCTCCAATTTTCTCGGCATCGTCTCGGAGTGTCTCCTCGAACGCAGACCATCCACGCTCTTGTCCTTTGTGTCCTCGACTTTCTGAGGTATCGCTTCCTGCATAGCTGCGGCCGCATTTTTCTTCAATTTCTCCACCACATTCTCGATCCCAGGGTGAGACTTTTCCACCGAGTGCCTCTTCATCCACTCCTGGCACTTTGGCTTCTCCGTCGTCGAGGTGGCTTCGCATCTGTACGAGTAATCCTCGTACGCAGTTTCCTCGGCCTCTTGTTTTATCACTATTCTCTCGACCTCTTCGTCGTCGCAGTCAATGTTCGGCATGTCGAATGACTTCACGATGATCTGAGGACGATGAGTGAGCGGTTTGTACGTCAGCAAATGGTCATCGTGGTTCTCACACCTAGAAGTAACTGGTATCTTCGATTCGCTAGGCTCTTCTTGCCTCTGCGTTTCGATATTGAGCGATTCCGTTGGCGCGGAACTCGCGTGTCTGTGTACTTCTGCGGTTCTTGCGTCTCCGATTTTAGCTAAATCAGCCTGAAAAACGATAAACATAACGACCAGCGTCTAGAATTAGACGGAAATTGAAATATCGAATAAGTTCCTAAGTAGACATAAGAGTATTGGACAGTGTGAGCTGATTGATTATCGTAAATGTATTTAAATTAGGAATTATGCAGGTATTGTAGGCTGGAAAAAGAGCCTACGTGTAAATTCAAAACCGTTTTGTTCGATGACCTATTGGCATTAGTAGACTGCG